GGTTCGAGGCTTGGGTTTCTGTCGGGCACGTTCCTCTACAGAAGGGATCCTCAAAAATAGGCAGAAAGTTGTCAGGGGACGATTTTTCGACTTGTTGTGTCGACTCTGTTTGAGTATGTTTGGCCGTGCTCCCTCTCTCCTCCACAGTCTGCCCGTAGGGGGACGTGCCCGACCTGGGCCTGGGCGCTCCTGGCCACCGCTGGAGCCTCCCTCGGCTCGGACGACAGGCGGCCACGCGCAGAGGCAGGGGGAGGGGGGAAGGCCGGGCTCCTTCGAGGCACCCCTGCTGCTCGGGAGGCGCGGGCCTTTGTGCGCAGAGGGCCGGCCGGCGCCTGCTGAGAGGAGCAGCCTCCTTCTGAGAAGCCTCCCCTTTTTTCCCCCTTAGTTATGCACCCCTGGGCGGGCCGCCAAAAAGGAGGGGAACTGGGAAAAGAAGGGGGAGGGAATGGGAGGAGGAGGAGGAGGAGGAGGAGGAGGAGGAGGAGGAGGCGAACTCTGCTGCGTGCAGCGGTGTTCGGCCCCGCCGCAGGACGCTGTCCTCGATACCCTGTCGCCTCTGACGCCTGGAGGCGCTGGAGAAATCAGCCACGCGAGCCGATTGCTATCCCCCCCCCCTCCGGCGTCCATCCCCAGACTCGGGGATCGAGGTTTGGGCGCTTCTGGCACCTCTTGAGCTGCCAGAGGCCTCCAGCTGCCTCTGAGGGCCTCCAGCAGATTGGGCTCATCAGTCCCGGCGTCGTTCCTCATTTTCGGTTCGTGGGGCCCACCCCTGAGCAGCAATTATACAACGAGCTAGTGCCGAGGATGGGGCCGAGAGCTTCCAGGGTTGCCGTGCCGTATCACCACGCGGCTCATCTTGTTCGCCGCCCTTACCGCCGTCGCCTTCGTCGTCGTCGTCTTCGGAGGCCATCAGAGATTGGGGCTTGCGCCTGGGCCTCCTTTGGTCCCCCCGTTGCCAATGCTGGGTCCGCGTCGAAATTCCTGATCAGAACGCGCTCAAGTCCGCGATTGTCTTGCATTGTCTTGCATTGTCTTGCATTGTCTTGCATTGTCCTGCATTGTCTTGCATTGTCTTGCATTGTCTTGCATTGTCTTGCATTGTCTGCATTGTCTTGCATTGTCTTGCATTGTCTTGCATTGTCTTGCATTGTCTTGCATTGTCTTGCATTGTCTTGCATTGTCTTGCATTGTCTTGCATTGTCTTGTCATTGTCTTTGTCATTGTCTTGCATTGTCTTGCATTGTCTTGCATTGTCTTTGTCTTGCATTGTCTTGCATTGTCTTGCATTGTCTTGCATTGTCTTGCATTGTCTTGCATTGTCTTGCATTGTCTTGCATTGTCTTGCATTGTCTTGCATTGTCTTGCATTGTCTTGCATTGTCTTGCATTGTCTTGCATTGTCTTGCATTGTCTTGCATTGTCTTGCATTGTCTTGCATTGTCTTGCATTGTCTTGCATTGTCTTGCATTGTCTTGCATTGTCTTGCATTGTCTTGCATTGTCTTGCATTGTCTTGCATTGTCTTGCATTGTCTTGCATTGTCTTGCATTGTCTTCTCGGCATCAGTGCCACAACGTTGACGGCAGGCAGCGCATCTCTACATAATAGTGTTTTTGCTCGAACTCGCTGAGCAAGCAAGGATACAGCCAAGGTAGCAGAGTCTTGGCCGAGCACCAAAACATCATCGCCAGAGCGTGTGTGTTGCCCATTCCCTCCCCCCTCCTCCCCCCTTATATGCACCCCTGGGCGGGCCGCCACAAAGGAGGGGAACTGGGAAAAGAAGGGGGAGGGAATGGGAGGAGGAGGAGGAGGAGGAGGAGGAGGAGGAGGAGGCGAACTCTGCTGCGTGCAGCGGTGTTCGGCCCCGCCGCAGGACGCTGTCCTCGATACCCTGTCGCCTCTGACGCCTGGAGGCGCTGGAGAAAGCAGCCACGCGAGCCGATTGCTATCCCCCCCCCCTCCGGCGTCCATCCCCAGACTCGGGGATCGAGGTTTGGGCGCTTCTGGCACCTCTTGAGCTGCCAGAGGCCTCCAGCTGCCTCTGAGGGCCTCCAGCAGATTGGGCTCATCAGTCCCGGCGTCGTTCCTCATTTTCGGTTCGTGGGGCCCACCCCTGAGCAGCAATTATACAACGAGCTAGTGCCGAGGATGGGGCCGAGAGCTTCCAGGGCTGCCGTGCCGTATCACCACGCGGCTCATCTTGTTCGCCGCCCTTACCGCCGTCGCCTTCGTCGTCGTCGTCTTCGGAGGCCATCAGAGATTGGGGCTTGCGCCTGGGCCTCCTTTGGTCCCCCCGTTGCCAATGCTGGGTCCGCGTCGAAATTCCTGATCAGAACGCGCTCAAGTCCGCGATTGTCTTGCATTGTCTTGCATTGTCTTGCATTGTCTTGCATTGTCTTGCATTGTCATTGTCTTGCATTGTCTTGCATTGTCTTGCATTGTCTTGCATTGTCTTGCATTGTCTTGCATTGTCTTGCATTGTCTTGCATTGTCTTGCATTGTCTTGCATTGTCTTGCATTGTCTTGCATTGTCTTGCATTGTCTTGCATTGTCTTGCATTGTCTTGCATTGTCTTGCATTGTCTTGCATTGTCTTGCATTGTCTGCATTGTCTTGCATTGTCTTGCATTGTCTTGCATTGTCTTGCATTGTCTTGCATTGTCTTGCATTGTCTTTGTCTTGCATTGTCTTGCATTGTCTTGCATTGTCTTGCATTGTCTTTGTCATTGTCTTGCATTGTCTTGCATTGTCTTGCATTGTCTTGCATTGTCTTGCATTGTCTTGCATTGTCTTGCATTGTCTTGCATTGTCTTGCATTGTCTTGCATTGTCTTGCATTGTCTTGCATTGTCTTGCATTGTCTTGCATTGTCTTGCATTGTCTTGCATTGTCTTGCATTGTCTTGCATTGTCTTGCATTGTCTTGCATTGTCTTGCATTGTCTTGCATTGTCTTTGTCTTGCATTGTCTTGCATTGTCTTGCATTGTCTTGCATTGTCTTGCATTGTCTTGCATTGTCTTGCATTGTCTTGCATTGTCTTGCATTGTCTTGCATTGTCTTGCATTGTCTTGCATTGTCTTGCATTGTCTTGGCATCAGTGCCACAACGTTGACGGCAGGCAGCGCATCTCTACATAATAGTGTTTTTGCTCGAACTCGCTGAGCAAGCAAGGATACAGCCAAGGTAGCAGAGTCTTGGCCGAGCACCAAAACATCATCGCCAGAGCGTGTGTGTTGCCCATTCCCTCCCCCCTCCTCCCCCCTTATATGCACCCCTGGGCGGGCCGCCACAAAGGAGGGGAACTGGGAAAAGAAGGGGGAGGGAATGGGAGGAGGAGGAGGAGGAGGAGGAGGAGGAGGAGGCGAACTCTGCTGCGTGCAGAGGACGCATACCCTGACAGGCGCTGTATCATTCGCGAGGACGCTGTCCAAGAGCCGTCAACAGCCAAGGTAGCTAGAGATGAGATTCCAGGCCCCCCATTCCCTCCCCCCTCCTATATGCACCCCTGGGCGGGCCGCCACAAAGGAGGGGAACTGGGAAAAGAAGGGGGAGGGAATGGGAGGAGGAGGAGGAGGAGGAGGAGGAGGAGGAGGCGAACTCTGCTGCGTGCAGCGGTGTTCGGCCCCGCCGCAGGACGCTGTCCTCGATACCCTGTCGCCTCTGACGCCTGGAGGCGCTGGAGAAAGCAGCCACGCGAGCCGATTGCTATCCCCCCCCCCTCCGGCGTCCATCCCCAGACTCGGGGATCGAGGTTTGGGCGCTTCTGGCACCTCTTGAGCTGCCAGAGGCCTCCAGCTGCCTCTGAGGGCCTCCAGCAGATTGGGCTCATCAGTCCCGGCGTCGTTCCTCATTTTCGGTTCGTGGGGCCCACCCCTGAGCAGCAATTATACAACGAGCTAGTGCCGAGGATGGGGCCGAGAGCTTCCAGGGCTGCCGTGCCGTATCACCACGCGGCTCATCTTGTTCGCCGCCCTTACCGCCGTCGCCTTCGTCGTCGTCGTCTTCGGAGGCCATCAGAGATTGGGGCTTGCGCCTGGGCCTCCTTTGGTCCCCCCGTTGCCAATGCTGGGTCCGCGTCGAAATTCCTGATCAGAACGCGCTCAAGTCCGCGATTCGGCTCGATGGCATCGTCGTCCCTCGTTGCGTTTACGGGGAAGCTGGATATCACACATCCGTGGGCTCCGCCAAATCCTGGAACAGGGTGGTGCAATTCCTTTGAGTAGCCACCCTCTTGTGCCTCATGTTCATGCTCAATGCCGCGCAAAGATATTCGCTTTCCCACCGCGCCGCCCCTGGCGCGCTCCGCGCGCCAAGGAGGGGGCTCAGCGCACATCCGAGAAATCCGCGCGGAGCTCCAAAAGTTTACGGTAGGTTCGCGTCGTGTCGACCAGCGGCGACCCCGCCTTTGGGCGCTCCACCATAAACGCCGCTGGCGACCTGAATCGGCCGATGCCGAATCGTTCGGGGTGTAACGATCTCCGCGGTGTCAGGGACCAACGCCGGGGTCGACATGTCGCCAATCTACCCAGCTCGCCCTCGAGAGCCCGAGGGTCGGCGGCGCGCCCGGGGGGGAGGAGGGAGGAGGAGGAGGAGGAGGAGGAGGAGGAGGAGAAGGAGGAGGAGGCGAAGAGGAGGAGGCGAAGAGGAGGAGGCGAAGAGGAGGAGGAGGAGGAGGAGGAGAGGACGAGGAGGGACGAGGAGGGAGGAGGAGGGAGGAGGGAGGAGAAGGGAGGGAGGGAGGGAGGGAGGAGGAGGAGAGGAGGAGGAGGAGGAGGAGGAGGGAGAAGGAGGAGGAGGAGGAGGAGGAGGAGGAGGAGGAGGAGGAGGAGGAGGAGGGGTCGACACGACAAGAGCCTGCCGTATGTCTATGCCGTGCGCTGTGCCTCCAAAGATCTCGCCCGAGGTGCGCAGAGTGCAGCGCATCCCGCACAGCCGAAGCGCCCTCGGGCCGCCCTCGTGAGCGACGCCGCCTGCGCCTCCCGCCCGCGCCTCCCGCGCGGAGAGGCGCAGACGCAGAAGGAGCAGAAGCTCCAGAACGTGCAGGAGCGGTCGGGGGAGGGATCGGTGAGGGGGATCGAAGATCGAGGAGGACGGAAGCAGAAGCTCCAGAACGTGATCAGTGGTCGAAGGAGGGATCGAGCATGTCCTCCTGCAGGCGGGCTCTGGGAGACAGAAAAAAAACAGTCATAAATGACCAAGCATTGACAAGGATTGCGAAAGATCGTCCCCAGACTATTCGTTGACTATTTTTGAATATCCCTCATGTAGAGGGACGTGCCTTTTGCGATGAGGAGGATCGAAGATTGAGGAGGAGGATCGATGATTCAGGAGGAGGGGACAGCTTTCAGAAAGAGGAAGATGTACCCATACCGCTATCCTTTCTTGGTTTTCTACTTTTTGGGCCTCCTGGGAAGCCTTCGTCGCCACGGCTGGATTCGCCTCGAAATGCTGGTCAGATTTCCCCCAAGGAGAGGTCTGGGGAGTACCGGTGTCGGTACCTCTTAGCTTCCCCAAGGTCGAGGTCGAGGGTCAAGGAGGAGGAGGAGGAGGAGAGGGCAGATCAACGAGGTGGATCGAGGAGGAGGAGGAGGAGGATCGAGGATCTGAGCGCCCGTCAAGGTCCGACGTGTCTGAGCGCCCGCCCTGGCTCTTCAAGAGCCCTAGACCTCTTCTAGGCCCTAGAAGTGATCTAGAGGTGTGTGCGTGCGTGCGTGTGTGTGTGTGTGTGTGCGTGTGTGTGTGTGTGTTGTGTGTGTTGTGTGTGTTGTGTGTGTTGTGTGTGTGTGTGCGTGCGTGCGTGCGTGCGTGCGTGCGTGCGTGCGTGTGTGTGTGTGTGTGTGGTGGTGGGGGAGGGGGCGTGCGTGCGTGCGTGGGTGCGTGTATGGCGCATTCGGCCAAGTTCGTTCGCAATTGGCACCTCGACCTGCCGACCGTGCCTGAGGCTACGCCGCCGAATGAAAAAGTGTGCGCGCGCGTGCGTGCGTGCGTGCGCGCGTGCGTGCGTGCGTGCGCGCTTGCGTGCGTGCGCGTCTTCTTTCGGCGGCCCCCCGCGCCTCGTCCGCGTCACTCCTCGTGCATCGTGCGGCTTGTGAGCTTGATTCGCCGACGCTCGTTTCGTGAATGGAGTATTACCCACCTTCAACAGGAAGTTAATTCGAGTCAAATGTGGCCCGTTGCGTCGCTTCCGCGGGTTGGACTCTGCCGCGCGTTGGAGGAACAGTGTTTGCGTGTGTGTGTGTGTTGTTTGGGTTTGTGTTTGGTTGTGTTTGTGTGTGTTTGCGCTTGCGATTGCTCTCCAGGCTGCGTGCGCTGGGCCAGCCCTCGCGCTCCAGCGTTCTTGGACCTACGCCGCGACCCCGCGCGCGTGGGGTGTGTTTGGGTTTGTGTATGTGTCTTGTTCGTATGTGTGTGCGTCTGTGTGTGTGCGTGTTTGTGTGTGTGTGCGCTTGTGTGTGCGTTTTGTTGTGCGTGTGTGTGTGTTTGTGAGTGTGTGTGTGTGTGTGTTGTGCGTGTGATTTGGTGTTGTTGCGTACGCTTGTGTTCGTGTGTGTGTGTGCTCGTGTGTGCGGTTTTGCGTTTTTGTGTGTGTGTGCGTGCTTGTTTTGTGTATGTTTGTGTGTGCGCGTGTGTGTGTGGCTCTGTGTTTGTGTGTGTGTCGTTTTGTGTGGTTTGCGGGTGCGTGTTTGTGTGTTTGTGTGTGTTTGTTATTGTGTGTGTTGTGTGTGTGTGTGTGCGCGTTTGTGCCTGTGTGTGTTTGTGTGCGCTTGTGCGTGTTTTTGTTTTGTGTGTGTGCGTGCGACGTGTGGCCAAGCCTCTTTGCGTGCGTGTCACGCTCGATCCGCTGGGTTCTCGGCGTCGGTCGCTGCCCTGGGTGGCCCCTCCTTGGGGTCACCCTGCTGGGTCCCAGCGGCCCGCTGCTCTCCTCGGGCGGCATCCCGCGCTCTCGGCGTCCGCGCCTCCACCGGCCTCTCGGCCTCTTTTCCTCGTGGCCCGCCGCAGTTCTCTGGCGCAAGTGAGCCGCCTTCCTGGCCTGCTCATCGGGTTCTGCCCCTCCAGGGCCCTCCCCTCGCCACGCCCCGCCCCTTCCCAGCCCGCTGGTCCCTCTAGCGCGCTGAGGCCTTGCCGGCTCCGGCCGCCCGCCGCTGGCTTCCCGCCGTGGCCCCCCGCCCGCCGAGCTGTGGCGCTGCCGGTTGTGCTGCCGCGCGCCGGATTTTTACGCCCACATCCCTGGCGCGGCGACGCCCCGCTGCCTTGCCGCGCCGCCGCCTGCGGCCCCCGCACGCCCGCTGGCCCGCCGCCCCCGCGGCTGCTGCCCGCTGCCTGCGCACGCGCCCCGGGCCACTGCCCCGTGGGGGGCTGGCCATCTCCCCGTTTCTTTTCCTCGTCTGCCACGGCGCGCCTTGCGAGAGGCGACCGAAGCGCTGGCGAGAAGCCGCGCCGCTACGACCAACAGAGAGTGTGCGTGCGTGCGCGCGTGTGTGTGTGTGTGTGTGCGTATACATCTGCATATATATATATATATATATATATATATATATATATATATATATGTATAGATGTATACATGCATACATTTGTACACATATATGTGTGTTTGTGTTTGTACGTGTTTTGTGTATTTTGTGTGTGTGTGTGTGTCTCTGTGTGTATGTATGCGTGTCTATGTGTCTATGTGTCTGTGTCTCTGTGTCCCTGTGTCCCTGTGTCTCCATGTCTCTGTGTCTCTGTGTCTCTGTATCTCTGTGTCTCTGTGTCACTGTGTCACCGTGTCACTGTGTCACAGTGTCACTGTGTCTCTGTGTGTATATGTGTATATGTGTGTCTGTGTGTCTGTGTCTCTGCGTGGCTGTGTTTCTGTGTGTGTGTGTGTGTCTAGACTCTGTGTGTGGCTGTGTGAGCCTGTGTGTGTCTGTGTGTATTTGTCCGTTTGTGTGTGGTGTGGTCGTTTGTATGTTTGTTTGCGTGTGTGCGTGCGTGTGTGTGTGTGTGGGTGTGTCTGTGTCTGTGTATGTCTCTGCGTCAGTGTTTCTGTGTGTGTGTGTGTCTGTGCCTATGTCTGTGTCTGTGACTGTGTCTGTGTCTGTGGCTGTGTCTGCCTGTGTCTGTGTCCGTGTCTGTGTTTTTGTCCGTGTCTGCTGCATTTGTGTCCGAGTCTGTGTCTCTGTATTTGTCTTTGTTTGTGTGTGAATGTGTGTGGATGTGCCTGAGGGAAAGAGCGTGTGAGTGTGTGTGATTGTGTGAGGGCGTATGTGTGCGTGTGTGTGTGTGTGCGTGTGTGAATGTGCCTCTGTGTGTGTGCGTGCGTGCGTGCGTGCGTGAGTGCGTGAGTGCGTGCGTGTGCGTGTGCGGGTGCGGGTGCGGGTGCGGGTGCGTGTGAGCGTGCGTGCGTGCGTGTGCGTGTGCGAGTGCGTGTGCGTGGGCGTGTGCGTGTGCCATGTTCGTGCGTGTGTGCGGTTGCGTGTGCGTGTGCGGTTGCGTGCGTGTGTGCGTGTGTGTCTCTGTGGGTGTGTCTATGTGTGTCTGTGTCTGTGTCTGTGTGTGTCTGTGTTTCTAGGCCTCCTGGATGGGGTCGGAGGATCGCGCCGCATCGTCGATGCATCGGCGATGCATCGGCGATACGGTCCGATATGGAGCCCAATTTTCTCCACGCCGACGGCGCCGATGCATCGTTGACGTCGTCGATGCATCGCAAGCGCATCGCCGATGCATCGCCGGTGCATCGCCGATGTGTCGGCGATGCGGCGCGATCTTCTGACCGCATCTATTCCGACCCCATCAAGGAGGCTCCAAACGTGTGAGTGTGTAACCACACGCCCCAGATAATAAAGCACCCCCTCCCGCCCCTTAAGACCTGAGTGTTGGTTATCTTTCGCCAATACAGTTTTGGTCGGCGGTAGGGAGCGGCGTGGCCAATTTTCATCATCACCGGGGAAAGTACGAATCGTAGATTGAATCGTCTTACCGCGTCATCGTCAGCATCATTCTTATCATTATCGTTCTCATCAAATACTACGATCAAATACTGACACTACTACTAGTGCTACTACTATTATTACTACTACTACTACTACTACTACTAC